TAAGAGATATATCATAAATTACATAGAAGTAGTCAATTATCTTCATTTTTTCTCAAAAAATGATCCATATGTATCGATGATTAACTTTTTCAGAAATGAAAGATTGTAAATAGATATTTTCGATGAGCGTTGAATAATTATCTATGTATTACTATAGAGAAAAAAAGAAAAATTTGACTTTTTCAACAGACTAATATGATACTACTTGTAGTAAATGTCTTAAGAAATTATTGAAAAAGTCTGTGATAAATTGAAAATTAACCTTCTTGTACAAGTAGAAATTACAAAAGCAAATATCTATAGACAAAAATAACTATTATCAATTAATAATATAACAAAAGATGAGTCTTGTGGATACTAAAAGACATCTAAAGCATACTGTCAAAGATATAGTATTACAAGCATTGAAACTAGTTGAGCAAAATATAGAAGAATATTCAATGTAATATCAAGATTGTTAACATATTCAATGTCAAGAAGTTCAAAGTTTTGATCGACTTTGCTTGTTTTTGTTGTTGTGTTAAGTGTTTAAATTTGAGCATTAGTTAATTTCTGTCCTTATGCTGAACGAAAGTCTATTTTTAATATCTAAAGTACATTTGCACCCTATGTAACTGAGTATGAAGAAGCTCTTGCTATTGATATGATTTTATTTAACTATAAAAAATACATGTATCATAAAAGTTTAATGACAAAAAGATTTGAATTCATTCATTTTTATTATAGATGACGAATATCAAGCAAATGGTTCGACGATGTATCAAGCCGAGTCCAACAGCTATCACTCAACCGACTCTAATGAGTCTTATCTGTGGAACTACGATAACTATCAACATGTAATTTTAGTCGACATTCTTTGCTAAATATCTTAGTTCATATTTTTCAGAGTGAGATAAAACATGTTCGAAAACCATTTTGTCAAATCAATGTGGTTGTCACTGAAAAAACTGCTATTGTTGAAGAAAAGTAAGTTCGACGAAATGATCTATACCTACCTTTTCTTATTGATTCATTGACAAATAAGATTGATCATGTTACATTAAGAATCATTGATTTCGATGAAAAATTAATCTTTAATAACGACGAAAATAATTCACCATTCAAAACCTATTCCAATTCTATAGTTCTATTTGTAGGTAAGGAGATGTTCATATACAAGAGTTTTCAACCGTAGTTCGATCGCTCGAAAGTGAATCACTTCATTAAGTCATATTTGAATGAAACCACAACTTTATTGGAATATAAGGGGCTAACATCTGCTGTTATAATGGTTTGTTTATCTGTAAAATGATTGTGTAGTAAAATCTCGGAAATGAAACTATCAAAAATAAAATCTTGAAGAGAACAAGGCTTTAGAAATGTCAAATATAAATCATTTTTACTTTCGAATTTGTCATCAGTATCTTGTTTCTAGATTTTTCAACCTGTTCAGACAAGCGATTTCTATTCACTAGTATTCGTAGAAATTTCGATTTTGAACTTACAAAATGTATTCTCTTGAGGTCAGCCAATCATTCATGTCGAAATGTAAAAAAATAGACAGTTTTGCTTTTAAATTTTCATAATGTTTAATTGTGGATCTTTTCAGTCGAAATGTATCTCGAATATTTTCTACTTTTTATCTTTAATAGTTATTCAATGTTAAAAAGAAATTAAATTATACATTTGAACTTTCTCAATTGTAGTAAAGTTTCTATACCAACACGCGAATGTACTGTCTGTTTCGTCGCACAGTCTGAACAAGATTTTTTTCCTACATTTGGTGAAGCATGTCAACATATTTACCGCTATATTTGCAATTCATGCACATATTATAGTGTCAAAGTTATTCTCAATAGTACCATTAGTAGTCAGATATTCTGCCCTGAGACAGGATGTTTGGCAAAGTGGAGCTCAGACGAGGTTCATCGAATACTACTGATGGCTAATGATAATTTATTGTTGAAAAAATACGATGTTCATCTAATCAGACAATTTGTCGAAAACGATGATAATTTTTTTTGGTGTGCTCATGGATGTAGATCCGGTCAATATGATTATAGAAGATCAACTCGAAACTCAAAAATTACTTGTATCTTATGCAAAAAAGATACTTGTGCCTTTCATCGTGTTAAGTGGCACGAAGGCATGACTTGTGATCAATATGATCGACTGTACGTTCCAACCGATGCAGGAACACGCAAATGGATTAAAAAATATTCGAAAAAATGTCCTGGATGTCAAAGCAACATTGAGAAGATCGGTGGTTGTGATCATATAACTTGTCAAAAATGTCGATATCAATTTTGTTGGGAATGTCTGGTTGACTATACTCGATATAAAAGCCGTTCGCATGTTCGACATAAAATTAGTTGTAAACATCATCCAATTGGAAAACTTGTTTCACCTGTTCGTTTTTTTAGGCTTCGAAGGCATCATTGATCGTACATTGGAACAGTCTTGTTGAACGAACTTAGTAATTAGTGAAGACATTCTTTTTCATTCATAAATTGCTCTTTTTTCACTAATTTCGAGCACCAAAAGTTGCCTCATATATCATACAATATATTACTTATGTAATAATGTCAAACTGTTCATTTTTACTTATGTTCATATATATCTATATGTATTCTCCTTCCATTGCTTGATCGTAAATGAACTATAATTTATGTAATTGTTTTATTAAATGATTTCGCGAAAACTTATCAAATTCATGTGAACTAATACGAATGAGAGGAAAATGTCGAAGTAACATTGTTTGATAGTATCTTAGAGACAATTAAATGAGTGTCCATTGATCAACGGCACTACTTAAAGTAACGTATAATAACACGAGTCGAGCTTCTATCAACTTGTATATATATATATATATTGACAAAAATCATAGAATATCGACAATGACGTTGAATTCTTATCCGTATAGATGTGCTACAAATATTCATAGATAATAATTGTTAAAAAAATGTATATTCAGTGATGAAAACCATTGAAGAACATCAGTACGAGATAAATAACCATACATTACAAAAGTAATATCAACAAATAGTATTTTTTTAATCTGCACTATACGATATTTTTGCCAAAGATCAGGTTAACATGTTTTTTTCAATTCTCATCAAATTAGAAGAGTCAAATAGCTACTTTTTTCACTTTCGCATTCTTACAGAAATTTGGTAGTCAACATTAGAGTGAAAACAAGAAATTTTTTTTATTCTTAATCATTTTTCATATCTGTATCTATGAGAAGAAAATATATACAAAAAATGTATGTATTAAAAAAAGAAATTCGATTTTATTAGTTAGAGTAGATAAAAAATTAAAGTTAGTATGTTTAAAATAATAAGTATCATCAAATCTTGATATTAAATATTTCTTAGTACTAATAGGTTTATATTTACGTGATCGATAACTACATAGTAAAAGATTTTATTCGAGTGAAATAATCAGATCTAACCATTACTAGAATTCAATAACATGTTATTTCATTTATATTAATAACACGATAAATATTTGATTTTAGTTGATCATTTTTTTTCATCGTTGTATAAGATCATCAATACAAATAATAAATGTATTTAGAATAGATGAACTATTTATTATTTCTCCTTTATTACTAAATGTATGAAGATTTGATTGATTTAATTGAGAGAAACGTGTAAAACATTCATAAACACTGTGTGTACTGCAATCAACTTGATCTTCATAAATACTAACATATTTGTTTCAGTGGATAAAACGAAGATACATAGTTATCATCAGCTTTTGACACATTTAATTAAAATAATTCGAAGATAAATGAAAAGATAAAAGTAAAACTTCAAATATTTGATGAATAAGTAATATCATTGTTAAATAATATTCTTCACAAATGCATTCATAATAATTCTAAACAAATGTGTTTAGTTCGATAAATCATTTTCCTGATTGAAATGCTTATTTTGAAACTTTATCAGATCTAAAAATCAGTCCAAATACAGAAGTGCAATGTCATTTGCTAAATTGAAATCTTTTTAGAATAATCGTTAAGATTCAATTTTTTCTTCTCATATTGGTATATAACCTCAATTATTTCCATAAGAGCATCAACTAATATATTATTTCACCTTATTTCAATGAATTAACAAAAAAAATTATTGTATTTTTCAGGAACATGTTGCATAAGTGATAATAATAAATTGTTATTTGATAAAATTACAAATAAATCAATATTCTACAAGAATGCATGTTCATCAAATATGAAGAATAAAACACTATAGAGCCTGGTGCTTTTTTTTTTTTTGTAAATCTTCTTCAGCGCTGTCACACATTCTTTAAATAACTATAAGCACATGAAATTTAATTGCTCAGTCTTCTCGAATCTTTGCCATGACTCTGAGTGCTTTTTCCAGAGTTATTCTTAGATTACTGACTTCCTCGGGAAACAACTTGATCGATGACCAGAGTATCCACTTTTTCTTTCTCTTCACAATCCAAAATCATTCAGTACTACAAAAACTCTAACTGAGAAGTTACAATCTATCGTTTATATGCAAACAAAAACTTCAAAATAAAGCACCATCAAAAATAGTTATGATTACGAGTCTTTGCATGTTGAATTGATCAATAACAGTAATGAACGAAACACAAACAGAGAAAGAGTAATGAAAATGAATCAAAAAGTATAATTGTTTTTTTTTTTTGTAAGGATCGCTTTTCTGATTTGCCATTGAAAATCAATTTGATTTTTGAATGCGTATTTGGATTAAAAAGTACGATTATATTTCGTAATGATGAATCAATTTTTTATGAGAGCGCCGTTTCATAAGCAAATATATGACTGGTAGAAAATTGCTCGCTCGTCCACATGAAACACATGCTTCAGGTAAAATTATATACACTAATAAAAAATAAGGCCTTCAAAAGTAATGCTTGGTTGATTTTGTCCTCATGTTTATTTCTTTTTTTATATATATACATCATATCGTTGTCAACTGTTCTTTTTTCTTTTCAATCAACAACATGCTCATGGTAGTACATGAAGAATGATCAATAGAGATTCAAGTAAATTATTAACTGATGGGTATGTCATGAATCATTATGGTCATGATACGTCAGTTGATGAAAACCCAACAAATACTATTATCCAACGAAAAAAAAAAGAGCGGTGAGTATGGTTTGAATAATTTTTGATAAAAATAATATAGAGAATTGCAGTTTCCACTATTGGAAAAACATAATGATGTATTGTATCACATAGATCAAATTTATCGTTCATGATAGTTGAGAATTTCTATTGATTTCTTTTTCGAAAAAATTGAGCTAATCGAATGTGTTGATAAAGCAAAACTTCATGAAAATATAACTAAATAGTCAATTTCTTCTCTATTTTTCACAAAAAATCAGGTAGAAGTTCATTGTGAAATGCCTGTAACTTCTGAGCGAATGAAGTTAAAAATTCGAGTCTTGTACATTTTTGTTTTACTTCTCAATTGATGTTTATAGTATATTCTCGATCTGCTAACCGGACACGATAGATTAGTTTCCAAAAAGTTCCACTGTAAACTTTGAAGAAAACTTCTCGGAGAGATCTGTAATATACGATTCGATACGTCTTCATCGCTACTTTCTAGCTGTAAAAACCATAATTCTCCTTCAGGTTCTTATTAAAAAACTACTCAAAATATATTCACGATTATTCGTCTTTTTTTTATATCGTAATCGTTCGATTAAAAGTGAGCTCCGTAGTAAGACTTCATTATAGAAGAGATAAGTGCCGTCGAACTTCAACGTATATTTAGTACTCAAGTAAAAGTTTCATTGTTAGGAAATCATCAAGACCTCAATAGAAATATTGCTAGACTTCAAAAAAAGAAGATATCTTTGTAAGAATTATTGTTTTTTAAAACAATTGAAAAGCAAACCTTTTTTAACCGTTTAGTTCTACTACACAAAAGATATCCAATAAACGCTCATCGACAGCTCAAGTTAATAATAGAACAATACGTGAACAACAATCACGAATAGATTCACATAATTATTCACCAATGACACAACTTAAAACAGGACAAATTTCTCATTCACACAATCATGGTCAACCTACATTATCAAACTCTCGAATAGCTTCATCTCATGACAGTTTGAAATATGTCATTTTACCACAAGAACAAGTATCTGGTAAAGCAAAATACACCACACAAAGACTATCTGATGAATTAGATACTTTTAATCATAATCTTTCTCTTCAATTAAATGTAAAACAAAAGTCACAATCACACAACATTGTTCATCAAACAGTAAATTCTTTTCAATCAATACAATATCCTTTAGAAGAATTGTTGAAGGGATCATTAGAGAGATATCCTCGACAACAGACATCAGTAGTATCAGATACTAATTCTAGTGATATGGAACTAATTAATATTCGACATATACTCAATCTTATTGAACAAGATTATCTTCATGCGGCTCAGCCATATGTATCTAGCGTGCAATTTACAAAGAATTATGAAGATGATCAGCTTTTAGCTGATCTCGGATCAACGACAGTAGCAACTGTTCAAATAGGTTCTTTTTCATTGTTAATTTTACGAAAAAATTACGATTCATTTTCTATCGAAGATCATACAAGACTGAGTGAGAGCACATATAATCGACAAGTACCCGCACATCAATATAGTGATACAAATGGTTTTATGTTATACAAGAAAATGCATTCGCAAAATTCGTTTACCAGTGATCAACATTCAACAGCGAATAGAAGAAAACACAGAACACGACATCATGTTCAAGCATCTCCATCTATTAGTAAGAAAAATATAAAATCAACACTGCTCTTATGTTCATATTTAGATGTTTCACAACCATCGAACACAGTGGATACACAGTCCCAAACAGACAGTGAGTAAATCACATAAAAACCATTGAACCAAAAATTTGAGAAGTATTCATTCTGACCAATCTGCTAACGCTGAATCTGCGGTTTCTTCACTTTTATACCACACAGTCAGTCCACAGGAGGTATACAAATAGGTTTTCGATTCTAGTAAATGTATCGTATATATTGCATTGTAGAATGTGATCGTCTCTCTTCCTTCACTAACCCATTGAAAACACAAAAGAACGAATACCTGGAAAATTCCGATCTCGTTTCGTACTTCTTTATTCGCTAGAGTTCACATTTTAGTGACGAGTTTTTTTCTTCTGATACACCTTGTAGTTTTTCATTGACAACTCTTCTGACTTGTCTCTTTAGATTTTTGATCTTCTATTAGGTTTATCCATGTTTAGTAGATCAATTGTTCTAAGATTCATCGCGAAATTTGCCAAATAATATTAACATCGAAAATAGTTTTACCGATGATTGCTAATATGACTCAGACCGAAGAATGAATCAATAATTTGTAAATTACATGCAAAATGGTATCATGATTGTAAGAGATACAACAGATTAAATACAAGTAGTCAATCATTTCCATATGTTCTCAAAAATGTATCCATAAGTATCCATAGTTAACTTTTTCAGAAATGAATGATCGTAAATATAATTATTTTCGATGAACGTTGAATAATTATCTGCGCATTACAATAGAGAAAAAAAGAAAAACTTGACTTTGGAAAGAAATTGATATGATACTATTCGTAGTGTATATCTTAAAAGATTATTAGAAAAATCTGCGATCAATTGAAAATTAACATTTAACTCGAATTCATTCATTTTTGTTATAGATCATGAATATCAACCAAATGATCCCATCGTGCATCAAGCCGAGTCTAACAGTTATCACGCACCCAACCCTAGTGAATCTTATCTATGGAATCATGATAATTATCAACATGTGATTTTAATCGATTTTCTTTGCGACATCTTTAAATTCATATTTTATAGAGTGAGGTGAAACATGATCAAAACACATTGTGTGAAGCCAATGTGATGCAAGCGGAGAAAACTGCTACTGTCGAGGAAAAGTAAGTTCGACGAAATTATCTATACCTATCTTTTCTTATTGATTCATTGACAAATAAGATTGATCATGTTACATTAAGAATCATTGATTTCGATGAAAAACTAATCTTTAATAACGACGAAAATAATTCACCATTCAAAACCTATTCCAATTCTATAGTTCTATTTGTAGGTAAGGAGATGTTCATATACAAGAGTTTTCAACCGTAGTTCGATCGCTCGAAAGTGAATCACTTCATTAAGTCATATTTGAATGAAACCACAACTTTATTGGAATATAAGGGGCTAACATCTGCTGTTATAATGGTTTGTTTATCTGTAAAATGATTGTGTAGTAAAATCTCGGAAATGAAACTATCAAAAATAAAATCTTGAAGAGAACAAGGCTTTAGAAATGTCAAATATAAATCATTTTTACTTTCGAATTTGTCATCAGTATCTTGTTTCTAGATTTTTCAACCTGTTCAGACAAGCGATTTCTATTCACTAGTATTCGTAGAAATTTCGATTTTGAACTTACAAAATGTATTCTCTTGAGGTCAGCCAATCATTCATGTCGAAATGTAAAAAAATAGACAGTTTTGCTTTTAAATTTTCATAATGTTTAATTGTGGATCTTTTCAGTCGAAATGTATCTCGAATATTTTCTACTTTTTATCTTTAATAGTTATTCAATGTTAAAAAGAAATTAAATTATACATTTGAACTTTCTCAATTGTAGTAAAGTTTCTATACCAACACGCGAATGTACTGTCTGTTTCGTCGCACAGTCTGAACAAGATTTTTTTCCTACATTTGGTGAAGCATGTCAACATATTTACCGCTATATTTGCAATTCATGCACATATTATAGTGTCAAAGTTATTCTCAATAGTACCATTAGTAGTCAGATATTCTGCCCTGAGACAGGATGTTTGGCAAAGTGGAGCTCAGACGAGGTTCGTCGAGTGCTCTTCATCAATAATGATAATTTACTGTTGAAAAAATACAATGATTATCTGGTCAGTCGTTTTCTCGAAAACGATGATAATTTTTTTTGGTGTGCTCATGGATGTGGTTTTGGTCAATATGATTATAGAAGATCAACTCGAAACTCAAAAATTACTTGCATCATATGCAAAAATGATACTTGTGCCTTTCATCGTGTTAAGTGGCACGAAGGCATGACTTGTGATCAATATGATCGACTGTACGTTCCAACTGATGCAGGAACACGCAAATGGATTAAAAAATATTCGAAAAAATGTCCCGGATGTCAGTGCAACATTGAGAAGAACGGTGGCTGTGATCATATAACTTGTCAAAAATGTCGATATCAGTTCTGTTGGTATTGTCTTGTCAACTATTCTCCAGTTACAAATCGCTCACGCGTTTCACATAAAATCAATTGTAGAAACCATCCAATCGGAAAATTTGTGATACCTGTTCGTTTGTTTCGATTTCGTAGGTATCATTGATCTTAAATGGAAACAGTGTTATCGAACTGCCTTAGGTATTATTCAATATATTTTTTTCTAATCATAGCTTGGACTTTTCCACGAATTTCGAGTAGCGAAAGCTACCGAACTTGCACGATTCTATTATTCCATAACCCAGCTACGAAGAGAAACTTGTTCAAACATCGGCTGATTGCAAAAAATAAATGACGTCGTCAATATTTTCATAATAAGTTTCATTGACTGGATTTCTCAAAAGCAGTTATTATTTGTTCCATCGGAATCATTGGCGTGTTCGGTATCTCTTCATAAATCAGTAGGTGCAAACAAATTAAACTCGCAATATTTTTAGTCATTCGCTTTTTTGATGCATTCTATGGAGAAAAGTTCTTTTAATAAAAGACTCGATGTTGAATTCTGTAGAAGAAATGGAAAGAAAATTTTATTCTACAGTAGGGAGGCAAAAAATGATACGAACGATTATTCATATAACTGTGTGGAAAATACAAGTAGTGTTTGTCTATGGAACTAGTTATATTTTTTGTGCAGTTGTACAAACATCAGAGTAGTATTAAAATTCATTTTTCTACTGTTTAGAAAGCGTTTCTTTCTCATCTCGTTATGCAAAATTAGCTGGCACATCAATATCAAGTAGAATTCCTGGAATCTACATAATTAAGCAACTTTTGGAAAACCTATTGATTTTTCCTTGTGTAACACAAGAAATTTACATGAAATTCTAACGTTCCAATAACCATAAGTAACCAATTATTTTTAGAATGATGCGATTGCAGTCTTTTCAGAAACATTTTGATCAAATACTTTTGCTTCGTTGAAAACTCAAACTTACGATAAAGGCGTAATCATTTTTTGAAGACAATATACAACATTTGATGCATATCTCACGTCGTCGGATCGCACTGAATTTTTACAGAAACTACGAGTAAAAAGCTTTCAGCGTAATATCTGTGGGATTAAAATGTGAAATACAATGGATTTGTTTTCCTCGTTAAACAGAGCCATATGAGCGTTTGCACAAAAAGACAGCGCAAATACGGATCATATATTCAATTGATATGATAGATTTCAATGGAAATTTGTCTGTGTGTAGTCCCAACTTAGATGTGAAAATATAAAAAATAAAAATCAGCTTAAAAAACCATCTCCTCTGTTGAGATATAAAAATCACAATATATGCACTCTCATTTAAAAAAAAGGCGATAATCAAAACAGTAGCTATTCTTTGTACATTTCGTCATTTTTTAACGACCATATTTGTAGTCATGAAATTGTGTGAATACATTCTAACGTAGATATTCTACATACTGACAAACTCACAATCATTTTTCGGCATGTTAGGCAATAGAAAGGTACTATACTGGACAAAATGTTTTGGACGATTTTATTCTAAGTCTAACTTTCTCATAAAGTTGACTTTTGAGATTCGATTTACGTCAAAATCACAGCTGATGTTTATACTATGTCTACAGAAAATTTCGTCCCGACATGTTGAGCCATACTAGAAATGAACATATAACAATCTGAAATAGTCACTTTTTGTTGGACGAAATTTATTGGACGATCTTTTAAATTATATTGTTTCTTTTTCACAATTGTTCAAAAGAATCGTAACCAGATAAAAAAAAAGAGCATCACACGAGCTACATTTTGACCACCAAAAGTTTCGAAAAGCAAAATGTCTATGAAGTGAAATACTTATTTTATGACACAGTTGGTAATTTTCAATGTAGACTCTTTATCGCTTTTATACAGTGAATAATTTTTCTTTCGAAATATTATATTCGATACAGAATCTGACGTTGCATAAGATAGCAGATTATTTAAAATTTTTCAATAAGTCCTTTTCAATGTTGAGAGGTGATTTTCACAAAAAATTGCACCGTCAGATTCTGTATCGAATATAATATTTGGAAAGGAAAATTATTCACTGTATAAAAGTGATAAAGAGTCTATATTGAATATTACCAACTGTGTGTCATAAAATAAGTATCTCACTTCATAGACATTTTGCTTTTCGAAACTTTTGGTGGTCAAAATGTAGCTCGTGTGATGCTCTTTTTTTTATCTGGTTACGATTCTTTTGAACAATTGTGAAAAAGAAACAACATAATTTAAAAGATCGTCCAATAAATTTCGTCCAACAAAAAGTGACTATTTCAGACTGTTATATGTTCATTTCTACTATGACTCAACATTTCGGCACGAAATTTTCTGTAGACATAGTATAAACATCAGCTGGGATTTTGGCGTAAACCGAATCTCAAAAGTCGATTTTATGAGAGAGTTAGACTTAGAATAAAATAGTCCAAAACATTTTGTCCAGTATAGTATATGACGGCCATTGACTTTTTTCATAGCATGCAGTCCTGATGGATATAAACATGAAAGATTTTCGAAAAGTTGCGTATCTGCTTTTATGTTTTTTAAGATATCAAGGATCTCATTTGTTAACGTTTCTTCATGATATTAATCACTTCCTATCTCT